TCAGGCTTTTTGTGTCATAACTAGGAAATACTTGCTTAATCTTTTGCTTAGTTTTTAATGTGATCTACCTAAATTATCCCCTTATTCTCCACCAGAGCCGCTAACTCCTTGCAGTGTCCAAACATGTTATGCAAAGTGGGCAGGGGTGTGGAAGGAAGGGATGGAGGCAAAATATGGCCCAGGGGCCAAATCCTTCCCTCTCCCTGTTTTTTGTAAGTAAAGTTTTATTGGAACACAACCATGCTCATTCATTTGCTGCTTGTCTGTGGCTGCTTTTGTGCTGCAATGCAGAATTGAGTTAGTTGTAACAGAGACTAAATGGCTCTCAAAGCCTAAAGTATTTATTGATTCCTTTACAAGAAAAGTTTGTTGACACCTGAGACAATCTATTAGTTCCTCTTTCCCCTTTTCTTGGGGATAGCTCTCCTGGAGCCCTTTATTCTTATGTGTCTCTCTGGACAGGTTGTTTTTAAACTCTGTATAGTTGCTATTCTGAGAAATTCCCGTTCCTCCTTTGTTAGATCCCTCTGTTTCTGGGATCCCAAGTCTTTCTTGGTTTGTTTCATTCCCTCCTGATAGAATATATCTTCTATTTTCCTGTGAAAAAACGCTGTGTGGGAAGTAAATTGATACCACTCTTGATAGAGAATTCTAAGTGGTTAGCCATTTTCCCTGAGAATTTTGAAGGCATAGCTTTATATTACCTTCCAGCTTCCAGTGTGGCTCTTGATAAATTTAAAATAAAGACTTTCCAACTGGTTATCCAGTTAGTTTCCTACAGGCTGGATTTTGCTGACCTGTAGGTTGAAGGTTAGTAATGCTTGAATATATAATATGTATAGCATAGAATGCATTCAGACTACTTTTTTTTTTTGAGCAACTTCATTCACTTAGTATGTTTTTGAGGTTCATCCATTTTGTAACATCTATAGTACTTCATTCTCTTACATTGTGGAATAATAATCCATTGTATGGATAGACTGCATTTTATATATCTATTTATCTGTTGATAGACATTTGAGTTAATATCTGCTTTTTGGCCTTTTTGAATAATGTTGCTATGAACATTTGTGTACAGATTTTTGTGTGGCCATGTTTTCTCTTGGGTATATATGTAGGAGTGGATTTTCTGGGTCATATGATAACTCTATGTTTATGTAAATCACTTTTGTAATTATTTAATTTACTGTTGATAATCATACATATTTAGAAATGGTTCTCTGAGAAAATCTAGTCTATAAATTGTTTTCAAATGTAGTGAAAATTTTATAGATACTATAATTAATGTTGACATAATGTTATTTGGAAATGTAATGACACATGATTTTTTTTTTTTTTTGTATTTAGAGCCTGTGATTTGTTTTTAGGGTTCGTAACACTCACGGGCCTTAAGCATAGTACCTGTGTACTGCCTAAGTGTTAAAAACCCTAACATTGGGGTGCCTGGGTGGCTCAGTCTGTTAAGCGTCTGTCTGCCTTCGGCTCAGGTCATGATCCCAGAGTCCTGGGATCAAGTCCCACATCAGACTCCTTGCTCAGTAGGGAGCCTGCCTCTTTCTCCCTGCTGCTCACCATCTTGTGTTTTCTTTCTCTCTCTCAAATAGATAAAATCTTTAAAAACAAAACAAAACCCCTAACATTGCCTGGGTGGAACCCAGAAAAAAGCTAAGGCGGTAATGTGAGAACTTTGCAGATACTCAGTGGGACATAATCTAAGTGGGGATGGAAATGGTCTTGGCAGGATGTCAGGCATAGGACCATGGTATAGTCTTTAGTAAAGCACAGGGATGAAGAAGACTCATTTATTTTTACGAATTACCAGACAGCTTGGGTGATGTAGAAGAATAGTGCAGTGATCATGGTCCTGTTTCTTTATTTGTTCTGTATCATTCTTATATAAATTCCTCATGAATAAATTACCATGTAAACAATTTAAATAAGATGAAGGAACTTAGATTTTTAGTTATATGGGCTTTCTATTGTGCAGGCAGAGAATTTAGGAGACAATTTCAGCATACTTTCAGCTATTGGTTCATTAATTTCTAGTATGTTTCACTAAGCTAGTATTTTTCTCACCTTAACTTCCATATTTTCCATCCATCTAAAAATGGATTATCACTGCATATGTACCCACTCTACCATAAACCTGTTGGTCTCAGCAAAGAAGTCAGTGTCACTCTAATTCTGTCAAAACTTGAATAAAGGTAAAAGGCAATCTATGTAGCCATTAAAATAATTTACAAGCAGTGGGCATAATGCCATTTTTATAAGGGGAATAAACTATTGTGAAGGGAACATTGACAACTTTTGGTATACAGTAACAAAATAGACCTTATCTTCAAGAAACACTCAGATAATTACAGTTCAGGTTAGTTAATGCTCTCACAGTGGTAAGTACAGCATTTTCTCATGTACTGCATAAAATAGGGTACCTCACCTGGTTTAACTGGGCCCAGGAAAGTTTTTTAAAGACAGATATACTAGACCAAGGCTATAATATCAGTTAAGAGTTAGGTGAATGGGTAGAAAGAGGGAGGAAGAAAAAGAGAAGAATTTTAGGTAAAGAAACCAAAAAGAGTAAAGGCTGGGTGTATGTAACAGCCTGTTGAGTTCAATGACCTCTAAGCAGAGAGAAGTTACTGGATTATGATGTCAAGGAAGGGAGTCCCATGAGAAGAGGAAGCTGGAGAGATGCTTATACTAATAAGGTCAAATCATAGAAGCTTAGTGTGCCAGGTTGTCAGTGAGCTTAAGCTTTGTGCTATCTGTAGTGGAAAATACCAAATGGCTTTAAGTACAAGAGTGACATGGTCAACTTTTTGGTAGGTAGGTTATTTTTGTCTTTGTCTTTGCCTGTTCTGAGATTCTAACCTTGAAGGTCACAAATTTTATTTATTGACCACTGTATCCTCAGAGGCTAGAATGGTGCCTGGCAAGTATTTAAGATTCACCCAAGATGCTAGTAAGGCAGTATAGTTGCATATAGCAGTTAAGAGCATGGGATCCGGCACAGGTCTGAATCCTTCTGAGGCCACCATTAAAATAGCGCTGTGACCTTAAGCAGGTTTCTTAATCACCCTATGACTCAGTTTTCTTATCTGGAAAATGGAGAGAATAGTTGGACCTACCTAATCAGATAGTTCTGAGAATTAAATTAGTTTATATAAAGCACTTAGAATAGTGCTTGGCTCATAGTAAGTACTATATAAATATTATAGGAATGGATGAATTTAGGAAATATTCAGGAACACAGTTCGATAGGATGTGGTAAATAAGGGTGAGAAGGAGTTAAGGTTAATTCCCTTTGTAGAGCTAGAGCTTTAGGTCCTCCCTCCCTTCCTGTTTCTCCCCTAGCCCTACTCACAATGTGCATACACGACACACAGACACATACGCTGACACTCACTCACTCTTACTCTCAGATTACTGCTCATCCATTCTAGTTAGTACTGGAAATTTAAATAAAGCTTGGTGGTTAGTCTCTGGTATGTTAAGGAAAGACTGTTGTTGATTCAGTGTGGCACATCCTCTTGGATTTTGTCTGGCTTCTCTTTGATTCCTTTTCTTTCTCTTTCTTGAAGTTTCTTCCTTGGACTCCTTGAGTTCTTTTCTTCTCAGGACAGAAATGTAAGAAGGGCTTAGATCCAGTTGGTGGGCTGGGGGTGTGTAGCCACTTTCCTCTCCGTGTCTCCTTTTTTTCTTTATGCTTCTTCCCCTTCTCCCCATTGTTTTCCTACCCCCCTATTTCCTACACAGTAGGAGAGACAAGAGAAAGGATTTCCTCCTTATTTGGCCTTGTCTGCAGGCTAGCTGCAGGCCTTGTCTAGTAATTACGGAAAACTTTGGGGAGGATGTTAAAACATGTGTCAGAAAAGTTCAGTTCTTCTTCAGTTAAAGTTAACTTTAAGAGTTCTCTTTTTTTTTTTAGATTTTATTTATTTGAGAGAGAGAGAATGAGAGAGAGAGAGAGCACATGAGAGGGGTTAGGGTCAGAGGGAGAAGCAGACTCCCTGCCGAGCAGGGAGCCCGACGCGGGACTCGATCCAGGGACTCCAGGATCATGACCTGAGCTGAAGGCAGTCGCTTAACCAACTGAGCCACCCAGGCGCCCTAAGAGTTCTCTTTTAATCTGTTTTTCTGATGTGATATTGAGAAGCATTTGGAATCTAGCACTTGAGCCAAGTTTCTCTACCCTTAGGACCCTTTTGTTTCAGAAACCAGCTAACTTCTAGAATATAGCTTGTCTGCTAGGCAAAAGAAATCTTTTAGCTCACTTCTAGGCTGGTTAAGGTCACCGGAACCAGAGGTTTCATGCTAGAGCCATGCTTTCATTAGTGGAGTGGAATTGGATACTGTGAGAATCTAAGATGGAGCCTCAGCTCTCTGCTGCAACCCTGATAGTCTTCGAAATCTATAAATTTTTTTATCTTTTTAGGTTCACGGGGATTTTGCATTCTACTTTACCCTTCATTTGTTTTGATAGAAATGTAAATTTCCTCCCTAATCTTTTACCTAAACTAAGGCTCTGGGAAGATAAACCCTTTTACTTTCTTGTGTCTTCTCATATTCACCCACATACTACCCTCATTCCCCAGTTTAAAGAGTACATACAAGGATTTGGAGCCAAAACCTTTTTATTGAGTGTCTCTTGCATATTTCTCATGATGGGAGTTGGCTTTTTGGCTAATGGCGCCCCAGCTTTTTTTTCCCGTCAACACATTGAGCCTTCTGAATCCTTGAAACAACACACTTGATCATAAATAACTTGTAGTAAAAGCTTTCCATTTCCTAGAGTTTGTAATGAATGTAAATATTCTATGTAATTCCTTGTCTGGATAGTCATGAAAAGATAGTGGCCAGTGTTAATTGTGTTTTTACTATGTGCCAGGTTCTGTTCTCACCCCTTTTGTCTATTGTGCTGTTGAATTATGTGATGCTTTAAAAACAAGTAACTTGTTTGTAGAATTCATGCTAACATTACTATTGTTTTTAATTAACAGATTTCAACACTAAACTTGCACAATGTCTTTGAAACCAAGAGTAGTAGATTTTGATGAAACATGGAACAAACTTTTAACGACAATCAAAGCTGTTGTCATGTTGGAATACGTCGAAAGAGCAACATGGAACGATCGCTTCTCGTATCCTTTTAGTGGCATTGATAAATATTCTTGTATTGATAGTGATATTGTATCGATAATTGTATCAGTGAACATTGGTAAATGTCCTAAAATTGATAAACTTGTTGAAAAGTGAGAACAGGTTTATGCTCATATAAATGAAAGAGAATGCCAGTGTGACTACTTTCACATATATTGTTTACATTTCCAAGTTCATCTGTATGTGTCAGTCAACAATCTGAGAACCTTTCATTTAACAATACTTATTGAGCACTCATGTATATGTCAGGTACTATTCGAGGCTTTGGAAATACAGTTGTACACAAAACCACTTTCCCTTCATTCTATTAAGGGAAACACACAATAAGCAGGTATTTAAAAAAACCTAATGCCACTGCTTCTACTAGCAGGTAGTGATAGCCTCTGTAGGGAAAGATAGAGCAGGGTAAGGGCATGGAGAATGGTTGGAATATGTATGTAAGTAGCTCTCTTAGGTGAGATGATCATGGAAGGCCTCTCTGAGGAAGGTGGTGATATTTGAACAGAGACTGGACCAAAGCGAGGGAGCAAGTCATATCTGAGGGAAGAATGTTCCAGGTAGAGAGTGAATGGCAAGTTTAATGACTTGATAGCTAGAAATACTTTTTAATTTTTTAAAAACTTTTTAAGTTTTTTAATTGGGTTGTCTGTATTTGTGAATTAGCAATTTTATATGAAAATACAAATTAGTGGTTTCTCTAGAATAATCTGAATCCTGGTGTCCTGCATTCCTACATGACAGCAACCTTTTTTTTTTTTTTTAAATATATACATACTGTATATATTACTTATATATAAAAAACACTGTGCACCCAGGCATTCTGTATATAAACTCTGGCACCAAGAAAAAAATCCCAAATATTAAAATACTTCAGCTTCTTAGAATTTGGGAGGTTAAAGGGGTCTCTAGAAACCCTTGGCCACAGATACCTGGGGCAAAGCCATGGATGGCAGTCTCACCAACTCTACCAATGTCTGCCAGGGACCAAGGCTGGGTGGGCATGGGGAAAACGTAGGTACATTGGAATATGTTCACTGGCAGACTTCTGAACTGCCTCAGTCTTTTACCACAGGAAACACCACACATGTCCTGTCTCAGGGTAAAGAAAGGGGGTAAGGTTGAGGCCTGGGTGTCTCTGGGTCCAAATGGCAAGGTAGTGCCCCAGGGCCTTGCAGGAGACCTTGAGGACTGGGTGGATATTGTAGGAACCAGAGATTCTTTCTCCAGAAAGGGAAGTTAATATGTGAAGGTATTAACCAAAATGTGTGTGAAGATTCACAGTTTTTTCCAACTCTGTGCTGCCCTCTAGCCGTCTTCTGGGTCTAAGGGATGGCTACCCTCATTACGTGGGCATATGCTCTTTAGAAAAGCTTGGATTTTATTAACAGTGACTCAACTTGTTCTTTTTTTTTTTTTTTTTAAAGATTTTATTTAGTTATTTGAGAGAGAGAATGAGATAGAGCATGAGAGTGGGGAGGGTCAGGGGGAGAAGCAGACTCCCTGCTGAGCAGGGAGCCCGATGTGGGACTCGATCCCAGGACTCCAGGATCGTGACCTGAGCCGAAGGCAGTCGCTTAACCAACTGAGCCACCCAGGCGCCTGACTCAACTTGTTCTGAATGCTTAATTCAGTTTTTATATTAAGCTGAATGTTGATGCAAGAACGGTGAGGTTCTTTTAGACCAACAGCAAACGATCTCATTCATTACATTTGTAGTCACTACTAAGAAATGTGTTAGGCTACCTATGTTCTAGGCACTAAAGATAAATAAAATGATGGTGTTTCTGGAAGCCTTCATAGTTTGCAAGGGTGTTTTATATTTTTTATATTATTTGGTACCTCAAACAAGCCTGTCAGATTGGTGGGGCAGACATAATTGTCTTTATTTAACAAAGGAGGAAATTGATATTCACATCATGCAGGTAGTAACCGAAGGAGCACAGACTTGAATATGAGATTTCTAACATCTAATTCTCTATACTTGCCAGTATATCTAGAGGATAATTGATATGGATTTTGCCTTTGAAGAGCTTATTATTGAATTAGTCTAATTTTTTTATGGAACATCATGGATTGTTTTGCATAGGAATCTTAATAAAATGGAAAATGTAAAAGTTACTTGTGTGTTAATAAGGTTTCACTAGACAAGTACATAGGTAGTTTTAAGGCTATTTCAACTAAAATATGAACAGAGAAAGAAGGAGTTGGTCATAGAAATACCTGACTTCCCTGGAAAGTGTCGCTTTGGTCACTTATTTCTAAAATGTTTATTGTTTGATTCATCTAAGATAGTCCAGTTACCTGTTCATGAATTTTCTTCTCTCTTTAAAATAAAGAATATCTGAGAAAACAACAAAATTAAGAATGGAATTTCTTACTTTAAATTTTATTTTGGAAAATAAAGGACTGTGTTACTAATTGTTCTGAAGTAAAATCCTTTTCCCTGTTAATTTGTCCAAAAATACGAGGTTGACTTCTGACCCTTAGGTATCTTAGGTAGAAATTTTAGAGACTATAAAACTTTAATCTTTTGAAAATGAAAAGAAGCCTCCTCCAAATTGTGTATCAACATATGTGATAGTAATTGATCTTTTATAAAGCATTTTTTGGGGTGTGTGAAGTGTAATGTGGTTGACCCTGAACACAGGTTTGAACTACATGTATCCACTTATACGTGGGTTTTTTGGGGAAAGATTTATTTTATTTTAGAGATTTTAGAGAGAGAGAGCTGGGGAGGAGAGAGGCAGAGGGAGAATAGAGAGAATCTCAAGCAGACTCCCTGCTGAGTGTGGAGCCTGATATGGGGCTCAATCCCAGGACCCATGAGATCATTACCTAAGCCGAAATGAAGAGCCAGGTGCCTGACCAACTGAACCACCTAGGCACCCCTTCCCCCCCTTTTTTCTAAACAAATACAGTACTGAAAATGTATTTTTTCTTCCTGACGACTTTAATAAGATTGTCTTTTCTCTAGCTTACTTTATTGTAAGAATACAGTATCTAATACATATACAAAATAGGTGTTAATCAACTGTTTATATTTCAGATAAGGTAAACAGTAGGCTATTAGTAGTTCAGTTTTGGGAAAGTCAAAAGTTACATGTGGATTTCCTTCTGCTGGGGGTTTGGCACCCCTCACTCCTTCGTTGTTCAAGGGTTAACTGGTACATATGTGGAAAAGTTCATAAGATGTACATGTGGGGTTGAACAGATAGTTAGAAAGCAAACCCCTGCATAATCGCTGCACAGGTTGAGAACTAGAACACTGCCAGGATCCACCAACTCTCCCCCACTACATGACCATCTCAGTTCACAAGCCCACTCCTTATCTTGGAGGGAACTACTATTGTGACTTTTGCACCTATTGTTTCCTGTTGTTTTTTTTTAAATAGTATAACTGCTTATGTATACAGCCCTAACAATTATTGGTTCTTTCTGTGTTTGGAACTTTATATAAATTGAATCATGCTGTGTATATATTTCTGTGTCATAATTTTTTCTTTCAACTTATACATGTATGTGATTAATTTGTTACCAGTGATGTTGTAAAATATGTATTACTAGCCCCATTTTACAGCTGAGGATGTTGTGGTTTAGTGATGGGATAAGATGACTTACTCATATTGTAGGATAGAATGCTGAAGTAAAATGCTCAAGTCTCCTTATGCTCTTGAAGTGGGCATTAAGGAAGCTTGGTCTGTAATTTGAAGTGTTTAACATGTGTAAGTACAGAATTTATGGAACCCTGTCCACAGCATTTTTTACTAAATATAAACTCCATAAGGGCGGGGATTCTTAGCCATTTTGTTCACTGCTGTATTCCCAACATCTGGCACATGTAGGTATTCACTAAATATTTGGTGAGTGAATAGCTACTATCAATTAAATGTCATTAAGCATACTGTACAGATGAAATAAATAACATTAATATTTAGCTAGTTCTTTTATTGTGTTGATAAGCAGGTTTCTTAACACTTATCCTTCATAAATGTACTGCATCCAGGTACAATGCAAGGCGTTCTGGTTGATAGGTAATGTAAATAAAAGACATCAGTTTTTTAATACATAACAAATTACCACAAATTTAGTGTCTTTGAGAAACATCCTTTTATTATCTCACAGTTCTGTGGATCAGAGGTCCATGGTGTGACTGGGTTCTCTGTTCACGATCTCACAAAGCTGAAATTAAGGAGTTGGCTGGCTAACTCTCACCTAGAGCTCAGGGCCTCTTTAAAGCCCATTGCTGTTAATTGGGAGAATTCAATTCGTTGCAGTTATAGTTCTGAGATCTCCATTTTCTTGTTGTCTCTTGGCTGTGAACTCAGTGACTTGTTACACCTCAGTTTTTGCATGTGACTCCCTTCCATCTTCAGTGCCAGCAGTGACATGGCAAATCTTCCTGTGCTCTCTCAGACTTCCCCTTCTGCAATTAACCACAGAGGGCTAAAAGCAGATGGGAATCTGCTTTTAAGAGGCTCATTTGATTGGATTAGGCACACCTGAAAAGTCCAGGCTACTCTCTCTATTGGGGTCAGCTGATTAGTAATCATAATTCTGACTTTGTGCTCTGAGTCCCTTTTGCCATGTAAAGGTAGCAGTCCCAGGTAGTAGGGTGGAAAATCTTAGGAGGCCATTTTTGGAATTCTCTCTAACACAAGTAATAATACTTCCTAACAAAAGCTTTATGACAGCTTAGGGTGGTTTGGGATTTACCCTTTACTAAGGATTTCTATCAAGTGCTTTTCTCCAGTAAGGCTAGGTATAGATCTAGATTTACTGTTGTGTTTTTCTGGGTTGGAGTTCTTTGGCTGTTTTGGTTTACTTTTATTCGTGGTTTTCTGCCTTTTGGTAGCTGTTAAGACAATTCCCAAACCCTACAGTATAATATAGAAGCTCTCCTACTTAAGGGCAAGTTAGATTCTAAATGGTTTTATGTAAGTCCAAAGTGATTGAGGGGAAATCTAAAATGCCTACATGAATATATTTCTCCCAGATAGGAAAACCAGTTTTTAAAACCAGGCGTACCGTTGTCCTCATTTCTAATATATAGTCTGTCAGGCATCTTTTCAAACATAGACCAGTTTTGACTACATTGAAAAATACTGAAGTAGGTCATCTCCATCCCTGATGATCCTCACAAATTTTAGGAGAACTTCTTATTAACCTTGGTGTCTGCACTTAGTAGCCCATCATTTTTTCTTAGATTGTACAGATTGGGAAAGGTCTTATCTGTGGTTTTCTCTGCTTGAAGCATAAGTAACATTTTCACTCTATTCCAAATTAAATCACGAATATTTGATTATTGTGATTCTGTAGCTATACACTTTAAAGTTTTTTCATTTTAACCAGTAATTTTATATCCTTGCTTGCTAGTTGATGATTTCATAGATATTGCATCTCTTACATGTTGCATGTTTATTCTTTTTCTTCAGAAATGTCAATAAAGATCTTTATTTTTTATTGTCAATACTTTTTTGGTCATTGTACCATTTTCAATTTTTAAGATAAGCTTTCTTTTTTTTTTTTAACTTACCAGCACTGTTTAAAAATTTGTTTCCTGTTATATGTAATATACATAACTTAAAAGCACATCAATATAAATCTCCTATAAGCTAAACCTTCATAATAAGAACCCATAAACATACAATGTGTATTTCTTTTCCCATGGCTTGGTTTTCTGTCCTTGTTTTTTTTTTTTTTCTTCTGTTTGTTTGTCTTAAAGATTTTATTTTTAAGTAATTTCTACACCCAACATGGGGCTTGAACACACAACCCTGAGATCAAGAGTTTCGTGTTCCACTGACCGAGCCAGCGAGCTGCCCCCCTTTTTCTCGTTTCTAATGAGAGTCATCTGCAGTGGCCCTCAGCAGGACCAGGACACACAGGATGAGGGCCTAAGGTAGGGGGAGGTGAGAGCCCAGACAGAAAAAGACTAGACAGCAAGAGTTGAGGGGGAGCAGAGACAGAAGAAAGGAAGGTGGATTTTGCAGCCCAGTGTCAAGACCCCCAAAATAATAAAACAGTGTTACTCCTCCTTTCCAAGTGGGGAATTTTCTTTCTTAGAAAATGGTTGATGGTGTGTGTCCTGCTGCTGTGGGTAATCTTTACATCCCCATTGTAGAACTCATTGTTTTGGACCCACTACACAATAGAATTAATAGTGTTAAAATTAAAAATTAAGCCCAAGCATAGGTAGCACCTTTAATAGAGAAAATGAACCAAAATAAATGATTTTGCTGCTGGCCAACACTGTCTTTTGGTTGTAACAGAGTTCAGAACTTTTGCTCTGGAACAGTTTTGGTTTTTGTCTGAGAATTTTTATAAGTGGGAAGTTCATGATAGAGGAATTTTTATATCCTGGCTCCCTAAAGAGTAACTTAAGGAAAAGATGACTTTGGAGAAGACAATGTTTAAATCTAAAACTGGCCTTCTCCAGTTATTTCCCATTTTTTGTTTTTTAAAGTGCCTTGTCTAAAACCAAATTATAATTGAATCCTGTAGGGGTTAGGGTGTTCTTCCTAAGGCCCAAATACCTCAGCCCTGGGGTTGAGCCCCGAGTTGGGCTCCCTGCTGAAAAGGGAGTCTGCTTCTCCCTCTCCCTCTGCCCCCCGTTCATGCTGTCTGTCTCTGTCAAATAAATAAAATCTTCAAAAAACAAAAACCTGGCACAGCAATATTACACTATATAGATATTTTTGCTTTTTTTTTTACTGTAAAAATTTTTTCAGTTTATATTTAGCACAATAGTATACTGAAGAATGTATACATATATACATGAAGATGTTTTATTATTTACTAATTATATATAATTAAAAACAAGTAAAAGGATTTAGAAGGATCCTGGGAAAGTGTGACCAAAATCTACCTATCCCTGACCTCATATGGAGAGGGCTGCTTGTTCTTTCTGAAGTAAGGATGCTAGGTAAACAGAGCACATGATATTAATTCCCTACCTCCCTTCCATCACCAAGTGTTTCATAAGTGCCTCTTATGTGCCAGGAATTGTGCTTTGGAGCTGGGACTCTAGAGATGATTAAGAACAGGCTAGTGTGGATGACAAAGGTATAAATAATTTCTATTGTATAAAAGTAAGTTCTATAGAAGAAGAATGTATAAAATGTTATGGAGATACAGAAGAGGAACGGTCTTCATCCTACTTCTATATATATATATTTTTTTAAAGATTTATTTATTTGACAGAGACACAGCAAGAGAGGGAACACAAGCAGGGGGAGTGGGAAAGGGAGAAGCAGGCTTCCCGCTGAGCAGGGAGCCCGATGCGGGGCTCGATCCCAGGACTCTGGGATCACGACCTGAGCTGAAGGCAGACGCTTAACGACTGAGCCACCCAGGCGCCCCTGTATATTTTTTTATAATGAAAGTTTGTTTCTTAAAAATTTTTAAGATTATTATTATTTTTAGTAATCTCTACACCCAAGATGGGGCTTGAACTCACAACTCTGAGATCAAGAGTCATATGCTCTTCCAACTGAGCCAGCCCGGCGCCCCCCTACCTCCATATTTTTAAGCAAAATTTTTATTTTGAAATATTTCCCGATCCTTATATTAAGTATATTGAATATATTTATAAGTAAAAGTATATTAAGTATATTAAATACTTGACTCCATCCCAAATAACCTTATTTTCAGTTTTTATCTGCATCTCTAATTAGGCTGTTCTCAGATTGCTTCACGTATGCTTTATCTTCAACATCTGTTCAGTGATGCATAGTTTAGGAAGCACTTTAACATTCATGAACTTATTTGGGTCTTAAAAGGATTCTGTAGAGATATCAAGAGAGGGTTTATTACCCTTAGCTTAGAGATGAGGAAATGGCAATGCAGAAAGGTTAAGAGACTTGGTCAGGATCACTGGCTAGTAAAACTAAAGTCTCAGATCCCATTTCCTCTGTCTCCTGATTTTTTTTTTTTTTAAGATTTTGTTTATTTATTTGAGAGAGCATGAGAGGAGGGAGGGTCAGAGGGAGAAGCAGACTCCCTGCTGAGCAGGGAGCCCGATGTGGGACTCGATCCTGGGACTCCAGGATCAGGACCTGAGTTGAAGGCAGTTGCATAACCAACTGAGCCACCCAGGCACCCTCTGTCTCCTGATTAAGAACTATCTGCTACAGCATATCTACCACTTGTGATACTTAGCAAGGTAGTTAGTTGGTACTCAAAAACTTAATTAATTGATATTACTATTCATACTATAATTCTTTCTAATGGAATAAATACTGAAGGATAGTGTGTAGGTTGTAGGATGTTATGAGTACTATGATGTGGGAAAATGTGTCAAATGAGTAGTTTTTGTAACTTGTTTCTCAGAATTGCATAGACATATCTGCTTGTGATATTCCATAGCCCTTTGTTGATATTATGCTTATGTCCATCCTTACATAAACCTTATTTTGTAGATTTCTGGGTAACTTGATTTACCGGAATGCCGCTCTGAATTTTAAGCTCTTTGACAAGAACAGTTTTCCTTACAATGCTGTCTAATAATCCTCAAGAAATACTTGTTGAATGATTAAATGAATAACACTTATAGTGCTTTTTAAAGTAAGCATGGCTTTTTTTTTTTTTACTTTTTCTATATCTGTATAATCTTAAATTGCCTGAAAGGATTTTTCATTTTTTAATGGCAAACTTGAGGTAAATCTCTTATTTTAAAGTAATATCTCCCCAATGAATATGAAAACCTTAACAATTTAACTAGAGATATCTATGCTTTATGTGTGGCCTATCCTGAACCCCTTGGAGAAAGACTTTATACAGAAACTAAGATTTTTTTGGAAAATCACGTACGGCATTTGCACAAGGTAAGGAGTGGTACAGACATGATATAAATATGTTTGTAGCTGGGTAGTTATTATTAGACTAGTTTACTGTTTTCCAGTGCAGAACTTATATCAGGTTAAGGTTATTTGCTTTGTTTCCTAAATAGCATTTTTCTGATTATATATATTTAAGGTTTATGAGTTAAGCATTATGTTGTTAGATTCTCAGTTTAGTTATTCAGCATCATATAACTAGTAACTGAAATAGTGGGGTTTCAAATCAAGGTTTGTTCAACTTTAAAATTTGCTTCTATGTCCTCTGGATGGTGTTTATTATAGAACTGTTTTCTATCTTTATTATTTCAGCCATTTAGCTGCCTCTTCATATCCTACATAAAATCTTACAAAAACCTAAAATGAAAAAGGGAAATGGCAAATTAAAAAGCATGATAGAAACTGTCCCTGTGACCACTTATTTTAGTTAGTATGCCATATATACAAGGGCAACACCATGGACTTGATCTGTGTATGAACAAAGAATTTGCGGGATTTGGCTACAGACAGTATTTCTTATTTTGGACTACTGATCTGATCAGGAACTGGAAGAGATCACTTATTGTCTGGGCTAGAAACTTGACTCTACCTTACATTAGCTGTGTGACCATAGGCAACTCACTTAATCTCCCTTATGGATTAAAATTTAAGTTTGTTTATCTTTAAAATGGAGATACAGTAGAGGATATGCTAAGCAAAATAAGTCAGACAATTATCATATGGCTTCACTCGTGGAATTTAAGAAACAAAATAGGGGATCATAGAGGAAGGGAGGGAAAAATAACGTAAGATGAAATCAGAGAGGGAGATAAACCATAAGAGACTGTTTTAACTCTAGGAAACAAACAGGGTTGCTGGAGGGGAGAAGGGTGGGGGGATGGGGTTAATTGGGTGATCATTAAAGAGGGCACTTCATGTAATAAGCACTGGGTGTTATATGCAACTGATGAACTAATGAATTCTACCTCTGAAACTAATAATACACTGTATGTTAATTAAATTTAAATAAAATGGAGATACAATAACACTATATAATACTGTGTCTAACCTTGGATGTGGCTAGGTGCAGATACATTTTAAAGTGGTGATAACCCCAGAGCGCAATTGATCATGTGATGTTTCCCTTTTAAAACTTTTGAAGGAAATGCTCTACTTTTTATTATACATGGCAGATACATTTTAGTGTTCTAATATGTGCATTTGTCAGCTCATGGAAGCAGTTTTGATAACAGGTACTTTAAATTGTTGTTACAATGTTTAATAATTTAGTTTTAAAGTTAAAGTTCTGCTATGATAATCTAGTGAACTTTGGTTATACCATAATTGTTACCTGTGTAAGGCACTTACAAATTTTGCAGTTTTATATTTTAGCATGGGTTGTGTTTTTTTAAATGTTTTATTTGAAATACTTTGACTTACAGAAAAGTTGCAAAAATAATACAGAATTCCTATATCCTTTTTACCAGCTTAAGGTTAACATCTTGTATAACAGTGGTACATTTATTAACACTAGGAAATTAACATTGGTATAATTGCACTTTAAAATGATGTGAAATAGTTCTACGAATGTTTAGAATACTTACATAATTGTATACCATATGTTTTCTCAGATCCTGTGACAAAAAAGAAGTTGGCTAATATGTTGATAACTAAGTAAATTATTAACATAGCCAACAGATTTGAAGCAGTTTCACCTGTGAGAAGAAAATTTTATTTGGGGGAGGGAACTTTTTTAATTACTAAAGTATTGCCGTTTTATTTATTTATTTATTTATTTTCTATTTTTCTAAGATTTTATTTATTTATTTGTCAGAGAGAGAAGGAGAGAGAAACAGAGAGCAAGCACAAGCAGGGGGAAGCGGCAGGCAGAGGGAGAAGCAGGCTCCCCGCTGAGCAGGGAGCCCGATGCGGGACTCGATCCGAGGACCCCGGGATCATGACCTGAGCCGAAGGCAGCCGCTTAACTGACTGAGCCCTCAGGCGTCCCAGCATTGCCGTTTTAGATAATTTAGAACATACAGATAAGCAAAAAGAAGAAAATTATCCCCGAAACAATACTCATACTTCCAGAATTAGCTACTATGAATATTTTTGATTATCTATACTTAAATACATCTGTTTGGGCATATGTTAATATATATATACATATATATATAAAATTTGATATTTGTCCTTAGCGTATTTTTGCTTTGTGTAGACGTCCATTTTTATTAGAAAACAGAATCATATTATACACTTTATAATCTTTTTGATTTTAATAATAAGTCTCTTTCTTTGTCATTAAATGGACTTTTATAATCCTGACAATGATTATAAAATTTTTCATTGTGTGGAGATACTACAATTTGTTTAAATATTGTCATACTGGGGGTTGGGAGGATGGGTTAGCCTGGTGATGGGTAATAAAGAGGGCACGTTCTGCATGGAGCACTGGGTGTTATGCACAAACAATGAATCATGGAACATTACATCAAAAACTAATGATGTAATGTATGGTGATTAGCAAGCATAACAGTAAACACACGCACACACAAAATACTGTCATACTGCTGGGCATATGGATTATTTGCAATATATATAATTTGTTTTTATAAACAATGAATGCTTCTATGAATATCCTGGTATCTAAATTATTTTTGTGTAGCTGAGTTTTTTATAGGATAAATACCTAGATACAGAATTATTAAGTCATAGGTCATGAACATTTTTTATTGTTTTGCTATATAGTAACAAATTGTTCTCATATTTATTCACCCAGCAGCAGCAGTTTCTAAGTGTGCTTTTCCCCCCAGCTATGAGAGGCAAAAAAGATACTATATATAGGTTGTTTCTGTCTCTTGAGCCTTAATTATTAAAATTCCAAGTTTAAAAGCATAGCATTTCAGCAGAGAATTAATTAGATGGAAATTGAGGTCATGACTTGCTTAAAGTCATATGGACAGTTAATGAAAGAACTGAGATAAAAGAACCTAATATCTTTTGAATATCAGTCCAGTGTATTTTTACTGTTAGACTAGATTTCCTTCAAAAATAACTTTTAAAAAGTTAGATTTCAGATTTAAGCTTGATTTTTATTTTTCAAAAAGTAACAGATTTCTGTTAAGTAAATATAAAACAACTTATTTGGGGAATATAGAAAAGGTGTCAATTTTCATAAATAGTCTTATTGACATAAGTGAATAATTCAGAGTAATGATATATTTTTATAACTAGCAGGATGATCAAAAGTGAGGGATTTGAGGAAGCACACAGATATGTGGCAGTAGAATTACATCCTCTTTTAAACTGATCTTAATATGGTATTCTAGCCCAAAGACAACCTCACACCATCATATTTTATCCTTTTAGAGAATGAAACTGTTTACTCTCTAGTATGGATGAATGCTTTATTTTCATATCTAAGACACACTTTTTTCTGGTCGTTTCAATTTTACTAAAAGCAGTTAAATTAGAATGTAATTTGTAAATATAATTTAGACTACTTTTTAGAACATTCATTTTTTATAAATTTCATAGCTTACAAATGAAAATCATTAGTGCTTTCCAAGTAAAAATATATTTCTTCTTTATATAGAGAGTTCTGGAGTCTGAAGAGCAAGTACTTGTTATGTATCATAGGTATTGGGAGGAATATAGCAAAGGTGCAGACTATATGGACTGCTTGTATAGGTAAGTATGCCTTTAAACTCTTTGACAACCTAAACAGTGTTGCCTGTATTCAGTAATTGAAGGAGTTTTGGGTTTTGGCTTTTTGTTTTTAAATTTTTAAATAAACGAACAAAACTAAAGCATTTTTTAGTCAATGGACTTTGCTATGGGGAAATGTCTGTAGTCTGGGTCATGTGAGTCTTTGGGAGCTAGGCAGTATATGGAAAGTTATTCTCTGAAAACTAAAACTGTATTTAATTTCATAGTTCTGTTTTTTGTCGTATTGTCTGGGACTCTCTCTCTCTCTATATATGGCACATGTTAGATCTTGACAGAGTTCCAAAGTGCAACTTAAGCTTGGATGAAACTTGGTGGAGTAAATCCAAACCCATGTTCTCCTCCTGTATGCTCTTACTTGACTCTAAGATCCAGTATTTTATGCTTCATGGAAACACTTAGTTAAAGCACTCAGCAGTTGTTCTCTTGAAGTTCTACCTTATCCTTTAGGCATTATATTAAATTACCTACAGTGTCATAATGTCCTATGATCTCTCACATTTTCCTGCCTCTCCTTGTGCTGTCGTATCTGTCTGGATTGCTTGTCTTCCTTTCTCTGAATGACGAATTCTCATGTGTTTCTTCACCATTCCCGTCTCTGAACTTCCCTCTTCCTTGTTCTACGCAGTCTCCTATTTAGATCTTTTGTGTTAGCTGTCCCTCCTGCATGTTCCTGTGGTACTCTGCGCTGATCCTTTCTAACCCATTCACATAGACAATGGAAATAAATTCCTGGGTACATAAGGCAGAAACCTATTTACCGAAGAATAGTGGATAAATAAGGAATAGTGTCATTAAGTCACCTGGGCCTTTGACACTTGGAATGAGAGTGTCTGCTCTTGAAATGGTTGTGGCCTGCGATGGAGGATAATTTTGGCCTATGCATTGTGGCATGGGCAGAGATGGATCCCTGCCTCAGTTTCTCACTGGGGAGAAACTCCTTACTTCTCCCCAGTGAGAAACTGAGGAGTGAAGCTGGGTGTCAGAGTATTATCTGTACAGTTATTCCATGCATTGCTGGACTACCACACTGAAGCCAGGGCTTGGTTCTCTTGGCGTGTTTGTCCTTTGTCGCTGGTTCATGTTCCTGTAGGTTTTTATAACAACACTGGAGTTTACTTACTGTAAGTTGCCTCTGTTAGAAACTGGAGCTTATTCCAACCTCCATTAGCTTTTATTTCTTCTTAGAAGAGCCAAATGTAATAAGATCAGAAGCCAGCAGTTGCTGACAAGCACAAGGTTTACCGTGGCTTTGGCTTTTATAAAAATGTTTGCCATACATAAAACATCCTGACATTTCATGGTTGTTTTTTTTTTCCCTCGTCCACCAAAGTAAGATAGTCATGAATAGAACTTTTAAGAATTCCCAAGCTAGGGTGCCTGGGTGGCTCAGTCGTTAAGCGTCTGCCTTCGGCTCAGGTCATGATCCCAGGTTCCTGGGATCGAGTCCCACATCAGGCTCCCTGCTCCGCGGGAAGCCTGCTTCTCCCTCACCCTCTCCCCTTGCTTATGTTCCCTCTCTCGCTGTGTCTCTCTCTGTCAAATAAATAAAATCTTTAAAAAAAAAAAAAAGAATTCCCTAGCTAAATTGTGGAGGAGAATTAGAGGAATTTTAAGGATAAGTGTGAGAGCACATGCATGCCTTTGGCCACATGCTTGGGCCACTGGTATATAGATGACTTAAGAGAGTATTTAGAATATATGCCAGTACAGTATGCTGTGTACAGTGGGTTCCCTCTTGAGCTGAGACATTTTAGTAAAGATTTAAATTGGCTTTCTTTCTTTCTCTTTTTTTTTTTAGTTTTCTATGTTCTCCTGCATCAAAATCAGTAATTTGGTACTATTTAAATTAATACTAATATTAATAATAAATTGGTACTGTTAGTGAAGTTTTATTAAATATATATGCTATATACACAAATATATGTGTGTATATAAACCATATGAGGTAGTTGGTGTCTCCAAATTTGCAGTTGAGGAAACTAGGCTCTCCGAGAGGTCATTTAAGACTTTGCTCAAGGTCACTCAGCTACAAAAAAAAATCACAATTTAAACCCAGATCAGCCCAATTAAACCTATTTCACTTCTTCATTCTACTTTAGTCTCATTCTAGATACACTCTTTTAGTCATTTAGATAGATTCTGTTCTCATCCCTTATCTTACACTATGCATTCTTTCTAAAATGATTTCAGTTACTCCTGGTTTTAGCTACAACCTATATGTTGCTAACCACCAAAATATGTGTTTATCCCAGGTGATCTGAGTTTCAGAGGAGTATTTTTTTACCTAGCCTGCCTATACCTTCAGGGTATTCCATGGGTACATTGTAGTACTGCAGATTTCAAAACTGAGCTTGTTATCTTTTACATACACACTGTCCCCAGTGTTATTTTTATTATTTATTTATTTATTTTTTTAAAGTAGGTTCCATGCCCAGCATGGTGTCCAGTGCAAGGCTTGAACTCACGACCCTGAGATTCAGACCCAAGCTGAGATCAAGAGTCAGACACTTAACCAATTGAGCCACCCAGGCGCCCCAGTATTACTAATTTTAATTGGTAGTAATACTGTATATCCAGACATAGATGCCAGAAGTCTCACTTATCCTTTCTTCACTTACGGTTGTCCTCTCTACCTGATCCCTATTGGTCAGGTCCTCCAGATGTCTCTTAAATTCATTATTTCCTTTGCATTGCAAGCTTTTTATCGTTTCTCACCCGAACTATTAATGATAAAGTCCCTGTAACCAGTCTTCTGGCCTTTGAGTTTAAATTTATTCTATTTACTGAATTCATGTTATTTTTTTCTTTTTTTTTTTTTTTAATATTTTATTTATTTATTTGCATGAGAGAGAATGAGAGAGAGCACATGAGAGGGGGGAGGGTCAGAGGGAGAAGCAGACTCCCCACCGAGCAGGGAGCCCGATGTGGGACTCGATCCCGGGACTCCAGGATCATGACCTGAGCTGAAGGCAGTCGCTTAACCAACTGAGCCACCCAGGCGCCCTATTTTTTTCTAACATGCACATCTGATCACTCTCTGAAATCACGTAGTAACCTTCCACTGTCTGTAGCAAAGACTTAGAACTAATGGCTCATGGGATTCACTTATAGAGAATTTTATTTGACCACTGGGATGTTGGCATCATGTGGCTGATCATCATTTATTTAATTATATTGGTAGAATAGATGGTAAAATCCTTTTCAAAGAGGCAATAATTAGATGAAAACTGCTTAATGATAGTTTTTAATTGTGGGGTACTGAGGTTATCCAGGCTAGCTAATCACTTTTAGTCATACTCTATAAGGAAATCTGTGTAAAGAAATATAAAGGAAAAATTAGTTTTGTTTTAAAAGTATTTTTTAACACTTTTATGAAGTAATTTCTAGCCTCTTCTTTATTCTGATTGATTTATACGATGGATATGCATTAGCATAGGTAATTTAAGGATTCTGACTTCAAAGAAAATAATGATATTCCTGCGTCACGTTTCCCAGTACTACATATCTCTTTAGACCCTGCTGGCTCTTGAAGTGTAGTACGTAAGATATTAGCTGGGGAACTAACAACTCTTGAAATCCAGTAGGTATTAGCATGAGAACAATTTTTGTAATGGAATTTCCTAAGACAGATTGAAATGCTTGGTTTCTCTGAGGCTTCAAAATTTTGGCTATTCATTATTGTCAAGTACTATTTTTAATTGTGTCAGTGCTAATATTCCAGGTAAGCAAAGGATACTTATTAAACACTTTGTTGGTGAAATAAATTATAAAAACATTATAAAAATTATAAAAACTATTGCATTATATGTGAGCAGAACAGCCAGGTATTGCCTGTGTGGTAGAGTATAAAATATTCTAAGAAATTATTGGGACCTGATTCTTTTATGATTTCCTAGAACATATGTCTTTATTTAAAAACAAATGTGTGATGAATAAAATTGACTGTAAAATACTCCAATGACTTAGAAGTTAAGAATTGTATCCACATCAAAATGAAAAATTGCACTGTTTACATTTTAAGTTATATCTTTAAATTATTTTAAAAGCTTGTCTATCAAGCTTAAACTTAACATCAGGAGTAGAAATCTGGAATGAGAAAGATACAGTTAACGTAAGTTCAAGTTTTATTCCATGAGGTAAAGAGAATAGTGACTTGTCCTATCAGATATAAAACATAAAGCTCCACTAAAGCAGTATGCTGGCTCAAGAATATACATATAGATCTTTGAAACGGAACAGTGATTCCAGACCTCTGCAGATCTAGCAGCTGCTTGTTCAGCATTAACAAACCACTATCCTAAGAAGTTTATACTTAACTCTATAGGTATAAAGGAGCTACTTAGTACTCTGAATAGGTGAATAAATTTTAGATGAATTAGAGATGGTGGAAACAGGAAATAGAGACCAGTCATGGGAGTGTTGCACATGATCGAAGCAGAGATTAAACAAAAGGCATTGGAAGAGAGAAGGAAACTAATGGGAGAGGATGAGTAGTAGTTTAGGAGGACGTGAAGAGCAGCTGATTAAAGGAGTAAAATGGAAGGATGAGAGATAAATGTTTCTAATCTTTTAGTGGGATTACTGGAATGGCCATGGTACCACAGACCAAAAAAAGAAACTGGTTTGGTGCAAAGGATCCATATAGGAAGGCACATATAAATGGTAAAGATACGACAATTAAATTCCCACTACTCAGGGAGCACATGTTACTGTTGAAATATTGTATTTGTTTATGTTTGTATATTCTACCAGATTTGTAAACTCTGTGCAGGAAGCCCACATTTTTGTTTTTCATCTTTCTGTCCCTGGGGCCTGGCACACTGCCTGATTTGGAGTCCACACTTGGTCAATACTTGTTGAATGAGAGAGGGAGAACTTGTGAAATTTCTGTGCCAGCTCTGTCACCCACTAGCAGATTGACCATTGGCGAGTTCTTTAAGCTCTCTAAGCTGCAGTTTTCTTACATATAAAAGGAGGGTCATAGTAGTATCACACATATCTACTTCATAGTATTCAGCCACATAAAATGCTTAGGGGTATGCCTGACACATGACACGAGTTCCGTAAACGTTAGTGATTACTTTTATTTCCTGGCATTTGTGGCTTTTATGATCTGGCTCCAGGCTGCTTTTCTAAGTTTGTATTCTAATATTAGCTTTTGCTCTCCCTGCTGTCTGGAATGCTATCCATTTATGTATTCAGTAGTTCATCAAGGAAGTATTTTTTGAGGACTTCATATTTACCTGCTGCTGGTTCTGGATGCTGTGTAAGCAAGGTCCTTGCTTTGTAGTTCTTATATTCTAGAGAGGCAACAGATGTACGGAGCAAGTAAGCAAATAAAAGAATTGAATTATTTCACAAAGTAGTAAGTACCGTGAAAAATATAAAACAGTTGCGTTTAATTACTTTAATGGGATGGGAAGTTAAAGTTCATTTGGATTGGTATCAGATCAGGCCTGAGAGAAGTGTGTTTGAGCCTGATGACAGAGGCCAGAGGTTAAAAGATCTCTCCACTTTATATATCCTATTTCAGTCCAGATCTCCCAGATGTTCTCTTTCTACCTCTTTCTTCTGTCTCTCTCGGTCCTATTCCCTTTTCTTCAATTGGAAGGCATGGTTGAAAAGCCAGCATGAAATTAGGTGGATATACTACTAGAGAGAATGGAAGGAAGGGTGAAATGGCATTTTGAAGGAAAAATATAATAGGACATTTTAACATATGGGTAGAGGAGACTAAAATGTCAAAGAGAGTACCAAGGTTTTAAGCCTTGGAGTCTAGAGGCTTGTAGTTAGTGTGGGAGTGCAACTTTTGTAAATGGTTTATCTGTACAGCTTTGGAGTTAATTCCAGGAATTGTGTTTTTCATTGTCTCCTAGAGTTGTTGGTGGAGTAATGCAGTTGAAATTTTTGTTGTCTTTGTTTTCAATTTCATTTGTCTGCAAACGTGAAGTGGACTTTTCATTTTGATGCAGTGAACACTAGAAAGTGTGTTTTGCTATAGAGATTTCGTGGCTTTTGCCTATTTGTGTTGTCTATAGCTATTTACACATGGCAGAACCTTTCAAGTCAGTACTTTTAGGTGGTGAGCATTATAGGCATTATAGTGAAATCTAAGATTGTGAAAAGTGAGTGCTAGAATATTTTGAGCCCTTCCTACACATTTTATTTACTTTAAAGAAATCTATATTCATCTCAGTAATTTGTAGAGTTCATTACAGTTATTAGCTTAGAATATGTCAAAACATTATAAAGCTGTTTTCCTCTGGTAGACAAAGTGATCTTACATTAGTCAGTTTTGCCCATACTTCTTACTGTCTATAATAGTACCTACTAATCTAATCTCTTTTTGTTGTTGTTTAAAAATGAAAAGTTACATCTTTTCCTGGTGATAGATATAAATTGAAGGACTGACCTGAGTTTTATCGTTTAACTATTTCTTGGTTTAATTCTTTGCAAAGTGAACTTATCCTGACTTTCTAAGAAGAATCTGGGAATGAGCAAATTATATTGTAGAAGGATTGTAGAAGCTCCTTGGGTAGGAGCTGTTGGGCTATATGAGTACTGGAAATTTTTAGAGCAAAACCCTTGAGTTTTTTAAAGTGAGACTGAGGTAATAGGGTTTTTTCCCCCTACTCTAGAGGTTATTCTTTTGCTCTTAAAGCCTTCGGCTGATACCTTTGATCCTTTTAAATTATATTTCTAACTTCTGCAGAATTTCTTTGGATATATTACCACACTCTTCTGTAGTTGATTTATAACCCTAAAATTATTATTTTCAAGTTGCAAGTTATTTGTTTTCCTGCTGATTTTAACATAGTGTCCAATGGTACTATATTTGTTTTTCAGGTATCTCAACACCCAGTTTATTAAAAAGAATAAATTGACAGAAGCTGACCTTCAGTATGGCTATGGTGGTGTAGATATGAATGAACCACTTATGGAAATAGGAGAGGTAGGAAATTCTTTAAATGACTGGCAAACATGAGAGTGTTTTTATATATATTGAGGGAATTTGATTCACTGTCTTTTTTTTAAGGACACCATGTTGACTATCTTAACATTGTCAAGATTTAAAACATCCTAAATGTTAAGTTAATAAAACACTGCAGTGATTTCCTAAGAATCTTCACATAGATAACAGAAGAGATATGATTAGTATTATTTTAATAATTAAATTAATGATGGATGAATAAATGACGGTTAATAGTTCCACTATGTGAAAAAGCTCATAAAAAGTCTTTAGGAAAATACTTTCTGAGAGTATTCAGAAAATATTCTTGAGATTCTTGTAGTTAAAAAGTGCAAAAGTCAAGGCGCCTGGGTGAGCATCCGACTCTTGATTTCAGCTTAGGTCGTGATCTCAGGATTGTGGGGTTGAGCCCTGTGTCGGGCTCTATGCTGGGTATGGAGCCTGCATAGGATTCTTTCTCTTGCTCCCTCTCCTTCGGCCCCTCCCCCCACCTAATGTGCATGCATGCTCCTTCTCTTTAAAAAAAATAAAGTGCAAAGGTCATAGGCTTAAAAGAGATCCTAAAAGAGAGGATATACAGATTTATGGATATAACAAATTTAACTTTAAAAAGTAATTAAAGAAGTTCAGAGTAAAACAATGAAGTGTGGAGATTAGTAGTTCTTTCAGATTCTTGAGGTACAGTACAAATTTAAATATGGAAAATTACATAAAGCATATATTCACTGTGAAAGAAATACTCCAGTACAATGTTTGTTTATTCATGTAATATGTATTTATTGAGTAGCCAGGTACTGGTGATACAATGGTGAACAGACAGAAGGTCTCTGTCCTCATGGGGAAGCAATGCCAAATAAGAATAGAAATTAATGTGAAATTGTGGTGAGTGTTAATGAAAGAAATAAACAGCTAAGATGCGGCATTAGTAGAAATTTTATTTAGAATAATCCTTTTGGAAAGAAATTTGTCGTTGTCTTTCAGTAGACTTTAAAATGCGTAATATCTGTTAACCAGATAATCCCATGTCTGGTAATCTGTACTGTGAAAATAATAAATAACAGGAAAAAAGTTCAAATATTTAAAAGTGTTCCTTGTGGGGCGCCTGGGTGGCTCAGTCGTTAAGCGTCTGCCTTCGGCTCAGGTCATGATCCCAGGGTCCTGGGATTGAGCCCCGCATCTGGCTCCCTGCTCAGCGGGGAGCCTGCTTCTCCCTCTCTCTCTGCCTGCTGCTCCTCCTGCTTATTATACTCACACTCTCTCTCTGTGTCAAATAAATAAATAAAATCTTTAAAAATTAAATATTATTGAACAACCCCTTTCTTATACCATATACAAAAATAAACTTAAAGTGGGTTAAAGATCTAAACATGAGATCTGAACAATTTAATTAATGCCTAAAAAGCAATAATAAACTATTGGGACTACACCAAAATAAATAATTATTGTTAATAAGGGTGACTAATGGGTAGACCATCTAAATGTCTAATATCCAACAGTAAAAACTATACATAGATGAATATGTACAGTATGATTTTGTTACGAAGGCAAAGAGATAAATTAGTAGTAGAAAATAGTTCATAGAAACTTTAATAAAGGGGAAAATATTTCATGAAAAAATCTGGACACATTATATGTTTAATAGAAATAAAACTATAGGGGAAAAAGGATGTAGAGTAACAGATTAGTGGGAAATAGTAGTTGCTTTAGTTCGTAGGACTATTAGTGAATATTTTAATAATTGTCCCTTATCACCAACACCATCAAGCTCACTCTTCCTCCCAGAGGAAGTCACCATAAACAATATGTCTTGCTTGAATTTTACCTGTGCATTTGCATATGAATACTTATACTATGCACATGATGGTTTAATTTTGTATTTTAAACATTAATGGTATCATATCATATGTACCATAATGATAGCATACCATATATCTTGCAACTTGTATTTCTTGCTTGTTTTGTTTTGTTTTTTGGTTAATGTGTCTAGTTCTTTGCACATAAGTTTATTTTTGTGAGAGCTTAGTATTCTATAATACGGATATAGAATAATTTATTAATCATTTATTAAACTATTCTCCTTAGTTTTTAGTTCTTTGTTGTTATGAACAATTCTGCTGTGAATATCATTGTTCATTTATTCATTTATTAAAAATTTTTTGAACCCCTCTGTGTGCCAGGCACTTTTCTATATACTAAGAATACAGTAGTGAACAAAGTAGACACAGATCTTACATTTAGGGAGTTAACATTTATGTATATATCTCTTTGTACACAGACATTTTCTTAGAGTGGGTTTTCTGGGTCTAAGCACACCCTGAATTTTGATAGCTCCTCCAGCTTGCTTTCAAAAGGCTTCATAGTTTGTTCTCCTGTCATAGCTTATAACATCTCATTTTCTTTATCACCCTTTTCCCCTGTTTGTGCTATTTAAAAAGCAAAAAATAAGGGAAAACTTGAAGAATGGTCCTTGTGGGATGGTGGATGCTTTTACTTATTTGAAATAGGATAAAGTTACCCCAGGGAAATAGAATAGAGAGGCTAAAACCAGAATAATGGCTGTGTAGATGCATTTATATTGGAAACAGAGGAGCAATCAATTTTTGATACTGGAATAATTTGTACTCTTTATGGGAAAAATATATTGGAGTTTAAATATGAAAGGCAAGACTTGAAAACTTTTGGATGGCAATATAAGAGCACACATATCCCTGACATTAGAGTAAGGAAGTTCTTAAAAGACAAGAAAAATACAAACAATAAAGGAAAAGATTGATAACTTTGAGACATTAAAGTATAATGTATTTTTACTAAAAAAACACTATAAAGGAACTCAAAAGTTAAGTCACAAACTATGACTGCAATATATAAAACTGTCAAGGGATTAATTTCTACAATATATAAAAAACTTCTAGTTTTTATTAAGAACAAGATAAATACTATGGAACTGTGGGCAAAAGAGATGAATTGGCATTTCACAGAAAAAAACTTAAGATGTACAATAAACATACAAAAAGATGCCCAGCCTCACACAAGAAGATGCCAGTTAAAACCACAAGGATTTACCAAAACAATCTACAAATTCAGTGTAATCCCTATCAAAATACCAATAGCATTTTTCACAGAACTAGAACAAATAATCCTAAAATTTGTATAGAACCACCAAAGACCCCAAATAGCCAAAGCAATCTTTTTTTTTTTAAGATTTTATTTATTTATTTGACAGAGAGGGAACACAAGCAGGGGGAGTGGGAGAGGTAGAAGCAGGCTTCTAGCCAAGCAGGGAGCCCGATGCAGGGCTTGATCCCAGGACCCTGGGATCATGACCTGAGCCGAAGGCAGACACTTAATGACTGAGCCATCCAGGCGCCCCTAGCCAAAGCAATCTTGAGAAAGAACAGAACTGAAGGTATCATAATCCCAGATTTTAAACTATCTTACATAGCTGTAGTAATCAAAACAGAATGGTACTAACACAGAAATATCCTGTTCCATAGATCAGTGGAACAGGATAAAAGACCCATGCATACAAACCCACACTTCTATGGTCAATTAATCTATGACAAAGGGGGCTAGAATATGCAATGGAGAAAAGAGTCTCTTTAATAAATGGTGTTGGGAAAACTGCACAGCTACATGCAGATGAATGGAACAACCCCTTTTTTATACCATACACAAAAATAAAGTGGGTTAAAGATCTAAACATGAGACCTGAACAATTTAATTAATGCCTAAAAGAAAACATAAGTAGTATTCCCTTGGACATCATTCTTAGCAACATATTTATGGATATGTTTCCTCAGGCAAGGGAAACAAAAGCAATAATAAACTATTGGGACTACACCAAAATAAAAAAGCTTTTGCACAGCAAAGGAGACCATCAACAAAACAAAAGGCAACCCAGTGAATGGAAGAAAATATTTGCAAATGGCATCTAATAAGGGGTTAATATCCAGAATACATAAAGAACTTACACAATCAACATCAAAAAAACTAAGCAATTTAATTAAGAAATGAAGCAAGGACCTGAATAGATATTTTTCCAAAGAAGAGATACAAATGGCCGACAGACACATGAAGAGATGCTCAAATCACTAATCATCAGGGAAATGCAAATCAAAACCACAATGAGATCTCACCTCACACTAGTCAGAATGGCTAATATCAAAAAGACAAGAACTAGCAAGTGTTGGTGAGGATGTGGAAGGGAACCCCCATGCACTGTTGGTGGGAATGTAAATTGATGCAATCACTGTGGAGAACAGAATGGGTTCCTCAAAAAATGAAAAACAGAAATATCCTATAATTAGTAATTCCACTACTGGGTATTTAACCAAGGAAAATGAAAACACAAATTTAAAAAGACATATGCACCCCTGTGTATATTGCGACATTATTTACAGTAGCCAAATTATGGAATTAGCCCCAGTGTCCATTGATAGATATATGGATAAAGAAGATGTGGTCTATATATACGAAGGAATATTACTCAGCCATAAAAAAGAATGAAATCTTGTCATTTGCAACAACATGGATAGATCTAGAGAGTATAATGCCAAGTGAAATAAGTCAGAGAAAAAACAAACAAAATAAACAGACTTAACTATAGAGAACAAACTGATGGTTACCAGAGGGGAGGTGGGTGAGGGGATGGGTGAAGTAGGTGAAGGGGATTAAGAGTACATTTATCTTGATGAGCACTGAGTAATACGTAGAACTGCTGAATCACTATATTGTACATCTGAAACTAATATAACACTGTATGTTAACTATACTGGACTTAAAATTTAAAAAAAATATGGGGATATGTACACATTTGATAGAACTATAGGCAAGGGAATGATTTAACACAAAATTCAGGGTTGTGGTAACCTCTGAGGGGAAAGTAGGAGGACGTTTGGAGCAACACTAATAGGGAAGTTGTGTTTCTTTTTTTTTTTTTTTTTTTTTTAAGATTTTTATTTATTTGCGAGAGAGAGAATGAGAGACAGAGAGCATGAGAGGGAGGACGGTCAGAGGGAGAAGCAGACTCCCTGCTGAGCAGGGAGCCCGATGCGGGACTCGATCCCGGGACTCCAGGATCATGACCTGAGCCGAAGGCAGTCGCCTAACCAACTGAGCCACCCAGGCGCCTGGCAGTTGTGTTTCTTAAACTGGGTGGTGAATACAGGGATAGTCTATTTTATTATTCTTTTAATTGACTTACCTTTTATGTTTGTATGAGAGGTTTTATAATTTTAAAAATCAGCCAACAGCCAAATCACTTTAACATAATTCCTTTGTTTCTCTTAGTCTTGACATTTATACAGCCTTTCCGTAATACCAGGCATTTAATTAACAACCAGTAAATTATAGTTTATAAAAATCAAATCAATTATTTCTTTAAGATTTTCAATTAATTCAGTTGAATTCAATTCAATTTCAATTAATTGAAGCCTTAATTCTGTTCTTTATACAATCTGATACTCATTTTCAATTTAAATTAGAAATCCATTTTTTTATGTATATTCAGTTTTCATTTGACTTTTGAAGTATTAGTTGTAAATACTTGATATGTAGTTTTACTTTAAGAAGTCTTTTAACATTTTAATAAATGTTAAAAACAAATACTAGGTAATTCATCCTTGATAATTTTTATTTTTCCTGGCAGCTAGCATTGGATATGTGGAGGAAATTGATGGTTGAACCACTTCAGACCATCCTTATCCGAATGTTGCTCCGAGAAATAAAAAAGTGAGTACTGATATTTGTCTTCTTGAGTCAATTCTAATTTGCTGTTTGAAATGGTTTCAAATAGTGTACAGTTGCATGGCTGTTAACTAGACATAGGCCTTGGTTTACTTAAACAAGTCTCATTTTCCATCTTAATGCCAATATTCTAAAATTGTTTTATAATCTTTTTTTGATAGGTCTTTGGTCTTTAGCCCAATATGCTTAGTAAATAAGTAAGTCCCTGAAGGAAGTGACCTGTCATTTGTTGTTGCAAGCCTGATACCTCTTGGATCTTCCAGGGCATAGCTGAATTGTTTGAACATAATCTCTCAGTTTAAATCTTGAAAGGATAACATACCTATTCAAGAATACAAATTTTTCTAGGTAGTTGGTTACCTCATAGCTCCAGTGTTAAATTCGTAACTTGTCTGTATGTGAGCTTAGTTTGTAGGAAAATGGCTGCCCACTCTACTCATGGGTCAGCATGAGTTTACCTAATTGCTGTGTGAATAGAATTTAAGAGAGTAAGTTTTCCTATGGAGTCCAGAATAGAAGATCCCTGGGTCAGCTCTGGCCTAAAAAAATTTTTTTTTTTTTTTAATTTTATTTTATTATGTTATGTTAGTCACCATACAGTACATCATTAGTTTTTGATGTAGTGATCCACACTTCATTGTTTTCGTATAACACCCAGTGCTCCATGCAGTACATGCCCTCCTTAATACCCATTACTGGGCTAGCCCATCCCCCCACTCCCTTCCCCTCTAACACCCTCAGTTTGTTTCTTAGAGTCCATAGTCTCTCATGGTTCATCTCTCCCTCCAATTTCCCCCCCTTCATTTTTCCCTTCCTTCTCCTAATGTCCTCCATGTTATTCCTTAATGTTCCACAAATAAGTGAAATCATATGATAATTGACTTTCTTTGCTTGACTTATTTCACTTAGCATAATCTCTTCCAGTCCCATCCATGTTGATGTAAAAGTTGGGTATTCATCCTTTCTGATGGCTGAGTAATATTCCCTTGGATATATGGACCACATCTTCTTTATCCATTCATCTGTTGAAGGGCATCTTGGCTCTTTCCACAGTTTGGCTATTGCAGACATTGCTGCTATGAACATTGGGGTGCATATGGCCCTTCTTTTCACTACATCTGTGTCTTTGGGGTAAATACCCAGTAGTGCAATTGCTGGGTCATAGAGTAGCTCTATTTTTAATTTTTTGAAGCACCTCCACACTGTTTTCCAAAGTGGCTGTACCAACTTGCATTCCCACCAACAGTGTAGGAGGGTTCCCCTTTCTCCACAACCTCTCCAACATTTGTTGTTTCTTGCCTTGTCAATTTTTGCCATTCTAACTGGTGTAAGGTGGTATCTCAAAGTGGTTTTGATTTGGATTTCCCTGATGGCTAATGATAATGAACATTTTTTTCATGTGTCTGTTAGCCATTTGTATGTCTTCTTTGGAGAAGTATCTGTTCATGTCTTCTGCCCATTTTTGGACTTGATTATTTGTTTTTTGGGTGTTGAATTTGAGAAGTTCTTTATAGATCTTGGAAATCAGCGCTTTGTCTGTAGTGTTATTTGCAAATATCTTCTCCCATTCTCTGGGTTGCCTCTTTGTTTTGTTGACTGTTTCCTTTGCTGTGCAGAAGCTTTTTATCTTGATGAAGTCCCAAAAGTTCATTTTTGCTTTTGTTTCACTAGCCTTTGGAGATATATCTTGAAAGAAGTTGCTGTGGCCGATGTCAAAGAGGTTACTGCCTATGTTCTCTAGGATTTTGATGGATTCCTCTCTCACACTGAGGTCTTTCATCCATTTTGAGTTTATCTTTGTGAATGGTGTTAGAGAATGGTCGAGTTTCATTCTTCTGCATGTGGCTCTCCAATTTTCCCAGCACCATTTATTGAAGAGATGGTCTTTTTTCCATTGCATATTTTTTCCTGCTTTGTCGAATATTATTTGACCATAGAGTTGAGGGTCCATATCTGGGCTCTCTATTCTGTTCCATTGGTCTCTATGTCTGTTTTTATGCCAGTACCATGTTGTCTTGGTGATCACTGCTTTGTAATATAGCTTGAAATCGGGCAACGTGATGCCCCCAGCTTTTTTTTTCTTTTTCAACATTTCCTTGGCGATTCGGGGTCTTTTCTGATTCCATACAAATTTTAGGATTGTTTGTTCCAGCACTTTGAAAAATGTCATTGGAATTTTGATCAGGATGGCATTGAAGGTATAGATTGCTCTGGGTAGCATAGACATTTTAACAATGTTCATTCTTCTGACCTATGAGCATGGAATGTTTTTCCATCTTTTTGTGTCTTCTTCAATTTCTTTCATGAGTGTTCTGTAGTTCCTAGAGTATAAATTCTTTACCTCTTTGGTTAGGTTTATTCCGAGGTATCTTATGGTTTTTGGTGCTATTGTAAATGGAATCGTTTCTCTAATTTCTCTTTCTACAGTTGCGTTGTTAATGTATCAGAAAGTAACTGATTTCTGTGCATTGATTTTGTATCCTGCCACATTACTGAATTGCTGTATGAGTTCTAGTAATTTGGGGGTGGAGTCTTTTGGATTTTCCACATAAAGTATCATGTCAACTGTGAAGAGAGAGAGTTTGACTTCTTTGCCAATTTGAATACCTTTTATTTCTTTTTGTTGTCTGATTGCTGATAGGATTTCTAGTACTACGTTGAACAGTAGTGGCGAGAGTGGGCATCCTTTTTGTGTTCCTGATCTTAAGGGAAAGACTCTCAGCTTTTCCCCATTGAAGATGATATTCGCTGTGGGTTTTTCATAGATGGATTTTATGAACTTGAGGAATGTTCCCTCTATCCCTATACTCTGAAGAGTTTTAATCAGGAAAGGATGCTGTATTTTGTCTGATATTTTTTCTGCATCATTTGAGAAGACCATATGGTTCTTCTCTCTCTTCTTATTAATGTGTTCTGTCACATTGATTGATTTGTGAATGTTGACCACCCTTGCATCCCGGGGATAAATCCCACTTGGTCGTGGTGGATGATCCTTTTAATGTATTGTTGGATCCTATTAGCCAGGATTTTGTTGAGGATTTTGGAATCCATATTCATCAGGGATATCGGTCTGAAATTCTCCTTTTTGATGGGGTCTTTGCCTGGTTTGGGGGTTAAGGTAATGCTGGCCTCATAGAATGAGTCTGGAAGCTTTCCTTCTGTTTCTGTTTTTTGAAACAGCTTCAGGAGAATAGGTATTATTTCTTCTTTGAATGTTTGGTAGAATTCCCCAGGGAATCCATCAGGCCCTGGACTCTCGGTTTTTGATCACTGCTTCAATTTCGTTACTGGTTATTGGCCTATTCAGGTTGTCAATTTCTTCCTGTTTCAGTCTTGGGAGTTTATAGGTTTCCAGGAAGGCATCCATTTTATCCAGGTTGCTCAATTTCTTGGCATATAGTTGTTGATAATAATTTCTAATAATTGTTTCTATTTCCTTGGTGTTAGTCGTGATCTCTCCCCTTTCATTCATAATTTTATTAATTTGGGTCCTTTCTCTTTTCTTTTGGATAAGTCTGGCCAGTGGTTTATCGATCTTATCAATTCTTTCAAAGAACTAGCTTCTAAGTTTCGTTGATCTGATCTACTGTGTTTCTGGTTTCTAATTCATTGATCTCTGCCCTAATCTTAATTATTTCTCTTCTAATGCGTGGCTTAGGCATCGTTTGTTGCTTTTTCTCTAGTTCTTTAAGGTGTAAAGTTAGTTGGTGAATTTGGGGTTCTTCTGGATTTTTTTGAGTGAGGCTTGGATGGCTATGTATTTCCCCCTTAGGACTGCCTTTGCAGTATCCCATAGGTTTTGGACTGATATGTTTTTGTTCTCATTGATTTCCATGAATTGACCTGTCATTTGTTGTTGCAAACCTGATACCTTTTGGATCTTCCAGGGCATAGCTGAATTGAACTGAATATTGAATATTGAATTGAATATTCTCTCAGTTTAAATCTTGAAAGGATAACATACCTATTTGAGAACACAGATTTTTCTAGGTAGTTGTTTACCTCTTAGCCCCAGTGTTAAATTTGTAAATTGTCTATATGTGAGGTTAGTTTGTGGGAAAATGGCTTTCCACTCTACTCATGGGCCAGCATGGTGGACTCTTTACCTAACTGCTGTGTGAATAGAATTTAAGAGAGTTAAGTTTTCCTTTGGAGTCCAGAATAGAAGATCCTTAGGTCAGCTCTGGCCTAAAAAATTCTTTTTTTTTTTTTTTTTTAAGATTTTATTTATTTATTTGTTTGACAGAGAGAGACAGCGAGAGAGGGAACACAAGCAGGGGGAGTGGGAGAGGGAGAAGCAGGCTTCCCGCGGAGCAGAGAGCCTAATGCGGGGTTCGATCCCAGGACCCTGGGATCATGACCTGAGCCGAAAGCAGATGCTCAACCGACTGAGCCACCCAGGTGCCCCTGGCCTAAAAAATTCTTACTAGACTTCAGTTTTGAGGAATCAGAAGCACTAAAAGTCAGTCATACAGCTGTGTGTATAATAAATTTCATTTTACTGGAACTGATGTTGTAGGAATTATATAGACCAGTGAATTGCATTGTGATGATGGCCACTCCATCTGAAAATGCTTTCTTTAAGAATACCCAAATATGAGTTTTTTTATGTGAGGGGAGAGAAAAGGAAAGCATTGTTCTTTCTATGGGGTCCTCATAGAACATTAAAAAATAAATAAATAAATAAACAGAAAAACAAGCCACCAAAGAGGATAAGGGAATATTTTAGAATTTAATGTTAATGCTAAATAGTAGAAAGTAGATGGTAGCAATTAGTAACTTGGTTTTAAAAAACCGTCGCTCTCCCTTTTTTTTCCCAAAGATAGGGAGATGGAGAGAAAAGGATAGTGAAGGAGGAAGGTGGGAAAATTTTTTTTCTTTCTCTGTTCTTTACTAAACCATAATTAACTAAAAGAACACTCCCAACAATATTTGTAGGTTCTAATGTATTTATTTTGCTATGAAATATTAACTGTTTCTTGACT